ATTTCGGAGGCGGGCTTTGAATTCTTATATATGCTCAAGATACTGCCCAGTGTCTCAGACCACTTCCTGTTGCCTATTAGTCAAGATGTAAGAACCCTCAGCTCCTTTTCTAGCACCGTGTCTGCTGAATGCTGCCTTTCTTCCCACCACGACGAGAATGAACTAAACCTCTGAAACTCAGTGAACCACCACAATTAAATGTTTTCCTTTGTAAGATTTACTGTGGTCATGGTGTCTCTTCACAGGAATAGAAACCCTAAGGCACTCCTTTTCCAGAGGATGTGTTACCCTCTTCTGACCTCCAGGGGGACCAGGCACATACTTGGCAACCAGACTTATCTGAAGGCAAAACATACATACAATAAAAATAAATAAAGATACAATTTTAAAAATATTATACTATAAGTCAAATGTTGTGACACATTTCATGTAATCCCATAGTGTAGTAGGCTGAGGCCAGGAGATGACAAATTCAAACAAACAAGTAGCATATTAATGCATATAAAAACAACTTTCAGGTGGGTTACTTTTGTTTATGCTGCATTTGTTTAATTATATAAAGATGTGTTGCCTTTGTTTCACCCTTGCCTGCCTAAGGCACCTGGTAGATCTAATAAAAAACTGAACAGCCAGTAGCATTCAAACCTTTAAAAAAAAAAAAAGCTCTTTCTTGGTGGTTGAATATGATATAGTTACCAGTATTCATCCAATGCCGTGTATGTCTGCTGCAGTGTTTCCCATTGTAACATGTATGTGACAGCAGTTATCCTATGCTTACTGTCTTGTCCATTAAACAAGTATTTGTATTGGCTACATAGAATTTCTGCATCAAAGAGGAAGCACATTTAAAAGTATTATCAGTTTACAGGGCTGTCTCTCTGAGGTAGAGCTTCAATAGCACATCTTTCCCTGTACTTCGATCCTTGTTTTATCTACATTGTCTTCCTGTTGGTTCTGAACTTTTCATTAATTGGGGGAATACACCAATAGTAATTGTGATGATTTTGCATTAGAATCAAGAGTTGTTGGGATTGACTTAAAAATCACTGGGCTTTATAAGAAAAAAAAATAAAAATAAAAACCACTGGGTTTGTTAGTGCTCATAGATACTGGGATCAAAATCGAATTCCAGTGTTCTAAGTTACTAAAATGGTAAGATTTTTCTTTTCTCTCTCTCCTCCTCCTCTTCTCCTTCTGTTTTTTCTACATATAAATACTTGAAATTACTTTAATAGTATACTTTGCAGTAAGTCAAATTATTTCTGCTCAATTTTATTCAACAGAAGATTTTGAAATAGACAATTTACCTGTAATTGTGAATGCAGGTTTGTTTTTTTTTTGTAAATATTGCTAAATGCTGGGTAAAAAACAACACTTAAAGTTATCTTTAACATACCAGAATAGTTGAAATAGAAAAGTTGCTCCAGTGATTTTTAGTGTATTTGAGTTTCAGATGTTTATCAACTTGAAGCATAGTAAGAATTGTTCAACCATTACTTGGCAACCTGCAAAAATTTCGCTGTATAAGGTAACGGACATTTTACATTAAGAGATAACTCATGCAGGAATTCTTAGGACAATTTAAATTATGATGAATGAACATTTCTGGTCCGAATTATTGTGATTTATCTGCTCTTCCTCTAGAGTGCCCTCCACTTCTGGTCTTGTTACATGGCCGTTCCCTTTGTTGGTTACATGTGTTGCACATTTTTCTAACTGCTATGTGTGAACCCAAACAATGTGTCAGCATTGTTTATCCTCTTCAAATATTTTCTTTTTAAGTGTAATTCTATTTGTATACTTATAAAATTTGAAAACATTTTTTTTTGTGAATAAAGATTTAAAAAAGTAAAGAATGTTTTTGCGGTACCTTATGAGAATCAAATTATTTCAAAAATGAATTTCTTTTTCCCTTCAGATGGAATAAATTCCCATCCCTAACTTGTGTGTAATGAGAGGATAGTCTGTACATTTCCTCATGAATATTCCTGCTCAGTTTTCCATTTAAAACATTAGTAATCATCAATAAATGTAGTTACTAAGTGTTTTGCTTTTCATAAACTGCTCTAAATCTATCAAATTAAATATAGTTATTAGAAGTAACAAGTATTAGAACTATTTGACTGACAAAAATAACAGGAACTTTAGCTGAGCTGGATGTATTAATGCATTCCTTATGTCTCGTCCTTTGAAGCTGACCTCTGCCTGCTCATTGCATTTGAAGCTTTTGTTAGTCCAGAGGACATTACACACATTTGCTTCTCACTCTGTTTTCTCCTGCAAAGAGCTTGGATGCCTACCAAATGTAAATGTGCCTATTTGCTTATGATGTCACTGGGGAGCAAAACTATGCCTCACACATGCTTGGTCAGCACTCTGTCGCTGAGCTCTACCCCTGACTCTTAAAAAGACTTAAATGTTGAAGTTAGCTGATCTTTGCTGTGTAATATATGGAAAATTGATATCATTCTACTTGTTAATCTTCATCAATTAAACACTATTTCTTACATTTTATATTGCTTTAGTAAATAAATTGTTACATAAAAGAGCTCATATACTTGTTAATTTTGTTTATGGAGAATTACTTTTTATACTCCAAGGGTAATTACTGATCGTTTACCATCTGTTTCTATTAATCAGTCTTTTTATTCTCCCCAGTCAGTGATATTATACTACATTTTATGTGAGATCATTTCTTCCTCTTCGCTTATGATGATTTTGACATGTAGGAAATGTGCCACAAATTCTATGTTCTTCTGTTAGTTATATTCTTGGCATAATATGAGCCTGGGTTCCAGTGCTTATAAAGTATTTTGGGTGGTTAGTGAAATTAGTCATCCCTCTTAGTTGTTTTTATAAAAACTCTTGTTTTTATTTAATATTTCATACTAGCTTGTGCTGTTCTTTTCTAAGAACATAAGCTTTTATATTTTTAAAAATTCTAACAAAACCAGAAAACTGTTTACTGAATTCTGAATGTGTTCATGAATTATAGGAATGATCACATGTAATTATTAAATTGTTAATTGTTTAATGACCGTACTGAATAGGTAAAGAAGCTCAAGCTAAAATGAGTGTGTTCTACACATGTGGCTTGTATTTCATTTCATATGTAACAGGGAACATGGAAAATCCACTTTGATGAATTGGCTTTTGTGCCTGTCCATAGGGTTGGTTAGATACTCATTACCTTATCTTTCCTGATGTTAGCACATCAAAATTCTGAGTTAAACATTCTAAATCTTCTTAAAAATAAAGCTAAATTTGTAGACAGAAAGATGATAGGATGGTTTTAAAAGGAAGAAGTAGGTCAACAGGGCAGTTTGTTTCTTCTGAAACTATTCCTGTCCCAGACATTTTCTCAGGCTACTGACTTAGTGTGGCAGACACGGGAGTTGTGGACTAGGAAAGCAGGTGAGTGCTGTAAGCAGAATTTAGACTGTTCTCCTGGGGCCTGGAAGATAGTGCTGTCGAGAGTAAACAGAGAGTGGAAGCCTGCAGATAGGAGTAAAGGCTCCATTACCAACTGGGCGTAAAGCTAGTCATGTAATATTTTGGCAAATAATCTGGTCACATTTCACCCCTTGCCTGAGGTTAATTTCCTGGGTGGGGGAAGTTGCAAGACAGCATGCATTTGGGTTTATGGCATCATTATTACTGACTACTCTTGTATAAATCTACAATGAAAAAGTAATTAATATACTTAGTGGCTTTGCTTTTAGTGGTTGTGTAGGGGCAGAAGGCAAGACTTTGGTATATTAAAGAAATTGCCAAGATAGCCTGTTAAATCACCAATATCTTGCATTTACTCCTATTCCACAGAATAAAAGAGTAGTTTGATCTGAACCCCTAGGGCAAAGATTTTTTAAAATAAGTAAATAAAGCCACGATTCTCTAAATCAACATGATCAAAGTTCACATGAACTCACAGAGACCCAGGCAGCATGCACAGCATACCAGGGCCTTTACATATATATTATGCCTTTCAGTTTAGTATTTTTATGGAATTCTTGAGTGTGAGCATGAGTGTGTCTCTGTTTCTTATATCTTCTCTAGGGCTCTTTCCCTTTTGTTTGTTTGTTTTGTCAAATTCCAATGTGTCAGTTTTTGATTTATCTTTTTTTATTTTACTTAAATGAAGCTTTAAAAATTAGCAATAAGATGTCATAAAGGACCTTTATTGAAAATAGATTAATAGTTTAAAATAGTAATAGTAAAACTAATATTATTTGAATATATTATTGTTAATAATATATTAATTATTATTATTTATTATAATAAATATTATTAATAATTGAAAAGAGATTTCACAAATTGAAAGACAGAGTTGAAGTAGTTGGTCACATACAGAAGGAAAATAAGAATGAAACATTTGGAGAAAGATTGAGAACAGGTAAGACTAGCTATGGATATGTTTCACTGGAGAATGGGAAATAATTGGGTTATGATAACTAAGATTCATTCAGAACCTGAAAGGGATGTGTCTTAAGCTTTGAGAAGCACAGTTCACCTAGGCACTGTTTTGAAGTTCAAAACTTCGATGAAAAAAGGAAGGTCTTCAGTGTTTCCAGAGAGAAGACAAACAAGGCTCAGAACATTGAGACAGAACAGTGGGTCACCTGAAAGCATCCTGTTCCCAGTAGAAGTCCAAAGCCAGCATGGTAATGGAGTCAGAGCAACTATGAGAAGCTGTGTCCTGCTTCCTGCCATGAGCATGAACCTGTCTTCTCATAAGTCAGCACATTGTCGGACAGGCTAGCACTACACACTCTCCACCTCGGTTCAGAGATACTGAAGAAGATACAGAGGGTCTCTGGGTGGTTCTGTCCTCCTGTGTAGAGTCACTTGTAATAAAGACAGAAGTGCCATAAGGTGAATCTTATGATCCAGGGGTAGCATGACTGTGTTCTGAGTGTTTGCTTTCCAGTGATGTTCTCAGGAGAGAGAGAGACTGTGCTTTGCCATTTGTACTAAAATGATTTGTATTCTTTTGTTTGAAGCGCTCTTCAGAGCCTGTGCTGATGGAGGTGCCAACCGCTTATATGACCTCACCGAAGGGGAGAGAGAAAGGTATGCTCCTGCAAGTCAGTGTCTGCTCGCCCCTCACTTCTGCTGCCCTTAGTTGTAAT